ATACAAATATTAATATGGGTGACACTCTAATTTTAAATATTATAATATGATTTAAAGTAATATTTAATATATAATATTAAAATATTATAAATAGATTAATATGAAAGGCACTATTTTATTTATTATTTATTTATTTATTTATTTTATTACTGTGCTTATATACCGCCGTTTCTCAGCCTAAATCGGTGACTCAGCGCGGTTTACAACACAACGACAAGCAGCAATATTCCATTAAAAAGCATAAAAACACATACACAATACACAATATTATTGGGCCACCAATAATAATCCAATGCATCTCTTAATTGTAGTCGCAATCCAATTTCGTCGTCTGTGATTAACCAATCCTTGTTCATCAGTTTCGTTGCACCAGATTAATCGAATGCTTGTTTAAACATCCATGTCTTCAACCTTTTTCGAAATACCATCAGCGAAGGGGCTGATCTCACCTCTATGGGGAGGGCATTCCAAAGCCGAGGGGCCACCACAGAAAAGGCCCTGTCTCTCGTCCCGCCAGCCGCACCTGTGAAGCAGGCGGGATAGAGAGCAGGGCCTCCCCAGAAGATCTTAGGGTCCTGGTGGGCTGATAGGCCGAGATACATTCGGATAGGTAAGTTGGGCCAGAACCGTTTAGGGCTTTAAAGGCCAACGCCAGCACTTTGAATTGAGCCCGGTAGCAAATCGGCAGCCAGTGGAGCTGGTGCAGCAGAGGAGTTGTATGCTCCCTGCGCTCCGCTCCAGTTAGTATCATGGCTGCCCCGTTGGACTAATTGGAGCTTCCGAGCCGTCTTCAAAGGCAACCCCACGTAGAGAGCGTTGCAGTAGTCAAGACGGGATGTAACCAGAGCGTGGACTACCGTGGCCAAGTCAGACTTCCCAAGGTACGGTCGTAGTTGGCGCACAAGTTTTAACTGTGCGAATGCTCCCCTGGTCACCGCCGAAACCTGGGGTTCCAGGCTCAGCGATGAGTCCAGGATCACACCCAAGCTGCGAACCTGCGTCTTCAGGGGGAGTGCGACCCCGTCCAACACAGGCTGTAACCCTATGCCCTGTTCGACCTTGCGACTGACCAGGAGTACCTCTGTCTTGTCTGGATTCAATTTCAATTTGTTCGCCCTCATCCAGACCGTCACAGGCCAAGCACCGGTTCAGGACCTCAACAGCCTCCTTAGTAGCAGGTGGAAAGGAGTGACAGAGTTGGACATCATCTGCGTACAGATGACATCGCACTCCGAAACTCCGGATGATCTCGCCCAGCGGCTTCATGTAGATGTTAAACAACATGGGAGACAGTATTGAACCCTGAGGAACCCCACAAGACAAAGGTTGTGGGGTTGAACAGGAGTCTCCCAGTAACACCTTCTGAGACCGACCCTCGAGGAATGAGCGAGCCACTGCAGAACAGTACCTCCAAGACCCATCCCCGCGAGGCGTCCCAGAAGGATACCGTGGTCGACGGTATCGAAGGCCGCTGAGAGGTCAAGCAGCACCAACAGGGACACACTCCCCCTGTCGAGCTCCCGACGCAGATCATCCACTAAGGCGACCAAGGCTGTCTCGGTACCATGCCCCGGTCTAAAGCCAGACTGTGCCGGGTCCAGATAATCCGTGTCTACCAAGAATGCCTGGAGTTGTGAGGCCACCACACGTTCCATGACTTTGCCCAAAAAGGGGAGATTGGAAACAGGCCGATAGTTGACAAATTGAGTGGGGTCCAGTGATGGTTTTTCAACAGCGGTTTTATCACAGCTTGCTTTAAGCTGGCTGGAATTTTGCCTTCCCGAAGGGAGGCATTAACCACCACCTTCACCCACTCGGCCAATCCCCCTCTGGCCTCCTTCAGAAGCCAGGATGGGCAGGGGTCTAGGATGCATGTGGTAGCTCTCATTCCTCCAAGCACCTTGTCCACATCCTCGGATTGAACCAATTGAAATGAATCCATCAAAACTGGACAAGCAGATGCTCGTGTTACATCCTCAGATACTGCCGTTAATATGGTATCCAGTCCAGAGCGGATCAAAGCGACTTTGTCTGCAAAGAACTGAGCAAAAGCTTCACAGCGAGCTGCCGAGTCATCAGGGCACCCATCCTGAGTGGTGGGTTTTAACAGGCCTCTGACAACTCGGAACAGTTCAGCCGGACGGTTCTTTGCAGACGCAATAGTGGCCGCAAAGAAAGTCTTCTTTGCGGCTTTTATTGCCGCGGCATATGCCCTTAAAAAGGACACAAACCGTGTTCGATTTGGCTCGCTCGGATTCGAACGCCACACGCTCTCTAGTTCCCTCTTCTTTCGCTTCAACGCTGCCAGCTCCTCGGTGAACCAAGGAGCTGGTTTAGCTCGGCTACTTGAGAGGGGACGTTCTGGAGCGATCGTGTCTATTGCCCTAGTCATCTCCCCATTCCAGAGAGCGACCAGGGCATCAACAGGATCACCTACCGAGGTGGTGGGAAATTCCCCAAGAGCCGTCAGGAATCCATCCGGATCCATAAGCCTCCTGGGGCGGACCAGCTTAATGGGTCCTCCACCTCTGCGGAGGTTAGGGGGTGCAGTGAGTCTAAAGCTGACCAGGTGGTGGTCGGTCCATGGCAATGATTAACATATTATAAATAATAAATAAGAATGTATTAGTATGGCAGACACTCATTAAATATAATATGATGTGACATATTTAATATATGATATTAAAATATTATAAATCAATATATTAATATGGAAGACACTCTTAAATATATTTCAAATAATATACTTATAATATTAAAATATTATAAATGGAAAATATTAATATGGCAGACACTAGTGATGATTTAAATCATTGTAAATAAAAAATATATTAATATAGCAGTCACTCCTGTTTGTAGTTTGGCAAGGCACCAGCACTATTGGGCAGAGGCGGCAAAGGGCTCGCAAAACTACAGCTCCAGGATATTGTTGTTGCTGTTGTTGTTTGAAACACAACAAGATGAGTCCACAGCAAACAAGATCATTCTGCTGGATGTTGTATTGGATCACACGTCGGACACTTCCCAAGTGTCTAGGACTGTTTGATGTATCGGTGAATAATGTGTGCAGATCCCAGTAGGGCGGCCTTTTGCAACTGACAGGTGGGGATTTTGTCAGCGCTGATGGGTTTTAAGTGCAGGCCAAGGTCTTGAGGCACTGCACCCAGTGTGCCAATCCCCTCTGGGACCCCCTTGACTGGTTTGTGCCAGAGTCTTTGCAGTTCAATCTTTAAATCCTCATATCGTGTCAGCTTTTCCAGTTGTTTCTCTGCAATCCTGCTGTCGCCTCTGATTGCAACATTGGCAATCCAAACTTGGTTTTTTAACACGATCGTAAGGTCAGGAGTATTGTGCTCCAAAACCCTGCCAGTCTGAATCTGGGACGAGTATTTTACCTGTTCATTTTCTATTACTTTTTCAGGCTTGTGATCCCACCAGTTCTTTGTCTCAGGCAGATGGTGTTTGTGGCACAAGTTCCAATGAATCATCTGAGCAACGGTGTTGTGCCTCTGCTTGTAGTCTGTCTGCACAATCTTCTTGCAGCAGCTGAGAATCATAGAATCAAAGAGTTGAATCATAGAATCATAGAATCAAAGAGTTGGAAGAGACCTCCTGGGCCATCCACTCCAACCCCATTCTGCCAAGAAGCAGGAATATTGCATTCAAATCACCCCAACAGATGGCCATCCAGCCTCTGTTTAAAAGCTTCCAAAGAAGGAGCCTCCACCACACTCCGGGGCAGAGAGTTCCACTGCTGAACGGCTCTCACAGTCAGGAAGTTCTTCCTCATGTTCAGATGGAATCTCCTCTCTTGTAGTTTGAAGCCAGTGTTCCGCGTCCTAGTCTCCAGGGAAGCAGAAAACAAGCTTGCTCCCTCCTCCCTGTGGCTTCCTCTCACATATTTATACATGGCTATCATATCTCCTCTCAGCCTTCTCTTCTTCAGGCTAAACATGCCCAGTTCCCTAAGCCGCTCCTCATAGGGCTTGTTCTCCAGACCCTTGATCATTTTAGTCGCCCTCTTCCTCTGGACACATTCCAGCTTGTCAATATCTCTCTTGAATTGTGGTGCCCAGAATTGGACACAATATTCCAGGTGTGGTCTAACCAAAGCGGAATAGAGGGGTAGCATTACTTCCTTAGATCTAGACACTATGCTCCTATTGATGCAGGCCAAAATCCCATTGGCTTTTTTTGCCCCACATGAGGATGGGATCTATTGTTTCATCTGCTTCTTTGCAGAATCTATACTTGGGATCTGTTGCCGACTTTTCAATTCTGGCTTTGATGGCAACATTATTATTGTTGTTGTTGTTCTTGTTGCTGTTGTACTCTTTAGGAGACTGACCGCTGGGGGATAAATATCTCTTAACTAGGCATGTTTTTAATAATGTTTTGTTGAAGGCTTTCTTGGCCAGAATCACTGGGTTGCTGTACATTTTTGGCCTGTCTAATCATGTTCCAGCAGCATTCTCTCCTGATGTTTCCCCTGCATCTGTCACTAATGGCACCTTCAGAGGTTCTCTTGGCAGTGAAGCAAATGGAGTAATATTCCTGTGGAATAATATCCAGGGCGGAAGAAAGAACCCTTGTCTGTTTGAAGCAAGGGTGAATGTTGCAATTAATAAGTTTGCATTAGCATTGGGGTAGCCATGAAGTCTGCAGAGTCAATAAGTGAGGATATCTGCAGAGAGGTGGCCTGGCCCCTGTTGCCTGGAGGCACCCTCTGTTTGGGAGGTGTTAACTGGCACCTGATTGCTTGTTTCTGAGTGCTGGACACAGAATCTTATTTGAAAACACAGGAATGCTGGGCCATTCATACCTGCTTCAAGCAGACAAGGGTTCTTTCTCCCACCCTGGACATTATCCCACAGGGATAGAGACACTCCACTTGCTTCATTGTTCAACAGAACCTCTGAAGACCCTGATGTTTGCATTTCTGGGTGTTTCCATTTTCAACATAACCCATGAAGGGAAAGGGGGAAATCGTGGAGGTAAAGAATGTTTCTCGCCTTCATCTTTGATCTTTTACTTCTTTCTTAACCAGGGAAATGAGGATTCTATGGAGCCACCCCTTGGATGCAGCAATGAAATCAATAATATAAGAAGAAGAACTTCTCTCTTGGTGATGGACTTGCTGAAATCTTGACCTCGCATACAGACAAGGAAGGAAAAAAGAAGACTGAAGCTTCTGTATTGCAATCAAACACCAATATCATGGCTGTCATGAAGGAGAAAGCATTTATATGCCTGGAGTGTGGGAAAAGTTTCACTTGGAGTGGTGATCTGAAGCGACATCAAAGGACTCACACGGGGGAAAAACCCTATACATGCCTGGAGTGTGGAAAGAGCTTCACTCATAGTGGAAATCTACGTTCACATCAAAGGACTCACACGGGGGAGACACCATATACATGCCTGGAGTGTGGAAAGAGCTTCACTCACAGTGGTAGTCTATGTTTACATCAAAGGACTCACACTGGGGAGAAACCCTATACATGCCCTGAGTGTGGAAAGAGCTTCACTCATAGTTCAGCTCTACGTTCACATGAAAGGACTCACACTGGGGAGAAACCGTATACATGCCCAGAGTGTGGAAAGAGCTTCAGTCATACTACAGGTCTACGTTTACATCTAAGGATTCACACTGGGGAGAAACCGTATACATGCCCAGAGTGTGGAAAGAGCTTCGCTCATACTTCACATCTATATCAACATCAAAGGACTCACACGGGGGAGAAACCCTATACATGCCTGGAGTGTGGAAAGAGTTTCACTGAGAGTGGAAGTCTACGTACACATCAAAGGATTCACACTGGGGAGAAACCCTATACATGCCTGGAGTGTGGACAGAGCTTCATTCATTGTTCAGGTCTACGTTCACACCAAAGCACTCACAGTGGGGACAAACCCTATACATGCCTGGACTGTGGGCAGAGCTTTACTACAAATGGAAATCTACATTCACATCAAAGGATTCACACTGGGGAGAAACCCTATAAATGCCTGGACTGTGGGCAGAGCTTCACTACGAGTGGAAGTCTACGTTCACATCAATGGATTCACACTGGGGAGAAACCCTATACATGCCTGGACTGTGGGCAGAGCTTCACTACGAATGGAAATCTACATTCACATCAAAGGATTCACACTGGGGAGAAACCCCATACATGCCTGGAGTGTGGGCAGGGCTTCACTACGAGTGGAAGCCTACATTCACATCAATGGATTCACACTGGGGAGAAACCCCATACATGCCTGGAGTGTGGGCAGGGCTTCACTACGAGTGGAAGTCTACGTTCCCATCAAAGGATTCACACTGGGGAGAAACCCTATACATGCCTGGAGTGTGGGCAGAGCTTCACTACGAGTGGAAGTCTACATTCACATCAAAGGATCCACACTGGGGAAAAACCCTATACATGCCTGGACTGTGGGCAGAGCTTCACTACGAGTGGAAGTCTATGTTCACATCAAAGGATTCACACTGGGGAAAAACCCTATACATGTCTGGACTGTGGGCAGAGCTTCACTACGAGTGGAAGTCTACGTTCACATCAAAGGACTCACACTGGGGAGAAGCCCTATAAATGCCTGGCATGTGGAAAGAGCTTCTCTAATAGTACTGGTCTACGTTCACACCAAAGGATTCACACTGAAGAGAAACCATATACATGCCTGGAGTGTAGAAAGAGCTTCACTCAGAGTGGAAGTCTACGTTCACATCAAAGGATTCACACTGGGGAGAAACCCTATAAATGCCTGGAGTGTGGGCAGAGCTTCACTCAGAGTGGAAGTCTACGTTCACATGAAAGGACTCACAATGGGGAGAAATCCTATAAATGCCTGGAGTGTGGAAAGAGCTTCATTCATAATTCAGGTCTATGTTCACATCAAAGGACTCACACTAAAGAGAAACCCTATAACTGCCTGGAGTGTGGAAAGAGCTTCAGTGAGAGTAAAAGTCTACGTTCACATCAAAGGAGTCACACTGTGGAGAAACCCTATACATGCGTGGACTGCGGAAAGAGCTTCACTGAGAGTTCAGGTCTACTTTCACACCAAAGGACTCACACTGGGGAAAAATCCTATATTTGCCATGAGTGATGACAGAGCTTCACCCATTGTTCCAAGTTTATGGTCACATCAAAGAACCTACACTGGGGAGAAACCCTGTAAATGCATAGTGTGTGGAAAAAGCTTGTCTGTGAATGGAAATCTACATAGACATCAAAGGACTCACACTGGGGAGTGGCATACATGTCTGGAGTGTGGAAAGATCTTCATTCATAGTCCAGGTCTGCGGTCACCTCAAAGGACACACACTGGGGAGAAACCCTATAAATGCCTGGAGTGTGGAAAGAGCTTTGCTCCGAGTTCAGATCTACATTCACATCAAAGGACTCACACAAAAGAGAAACCATATACATGTCTGGATTGTGGAGAGAGCTTCATTGAGTGTAGAAGTCTTATGTTCACATCAAAGGATTTATACTGGGGGAGAAACCCTATAACATGTCCGTCCCCCGCCGTGGGAATGCTTGGTTCCACAACCCCAGTTTTAATTGAGCTCCCCTTGCAAGTAACCTGCTCCTCCTGTTATCTCACCCAAGTTTTTAATCATTTTTAATCATTTTATTCTGCACATGTGGCCCGCCCATTGTCACTGTGCTTGTAATTTTATATTGCTAATGTATTTATATGTGGTTTTTCTTTTATTGTTATGTAATTATGATGTTATTGCCTGTTGTTTGTGTTCTTGGTTTTACTTTGTTGTAATTTGTTGTTTGGGCTTAGCCTCATGTAAGCCGCCCCGAGTGTTCGTTGGGGGAAATGGTGGCGGGGTATAAATAAAGATTATTGTTATTATTATTATTATTATTATTATTATTATTATTAACACATTGTGTCGAAAAAGCTTCTCTGGTAGTTGAAATCTTCATAGAAAGAATTAATATTGGAGAGAACAGCGGTGTTTGACTTCAAAGAGAGTTTCTCAGATAGAGCTTTCCAGACGTTTCATGTTGGTGAAACTCTTTTGAGAAATATATACTTTTGTGATACAGTAATTTAGTTTAACTAGCAAGCCAGAGGTTAGGCCACCCCATATAAGACTTTCAATATATAATAATAGTATAGAGAGAGACGTCCAATGTGGGCTAGGCAAAACTATGGTGAGGTGGATCTGTAATTGGTTAAATGGACGAACCCAGAGGGTGATTCTCCACAAGGCTTCCTCTTCATCCTGGAAAGAATTGACGAGCGGAGTGCCGCAGGGTTCCGTCCTGGGCCCGGTCCTGTTCAACATCTTTATTAATGACTTAGATCCGTGATGGCGAACCTATGACACGCGTGTCAGTAGTGACACGCGTAGCCATTTCTACTGACACGCGCCGAAGGTCCGCCATTGCTTCAGCTGGAGGAGGAGGCGGAGGAGCCTTTGAAGAAGAGGAAGAAGCAGATCAAAAAAACAAACTTTAGGGCAGCGTTTCTCAACCTGGGGGTGGTCATGAAGCAATTTTCAGGGGTCGTGACATCGCCTCCTTTGGCCCCGCCCCCTCCGGTTGCCAGGAGTCACAGAGAAGCGCCCCCATTCTGATCCCAATTATTTTGGATGAGGCACCCAGCCTGTATCAAGCGCTTCCGAAGGAAACCAGAGGAACTTCCAGGGTAGTGTGCCATCTCATACTTTGGAGTCATGGTTTGCAGAGGGCCTTCTGTGGGGTGTAGTTTGATGGCCAACCAAGCACGCTCCTCATGGCCGTGTGCATTCTTGGGTTGGCGGGAAGCCGGCAGAGGGGGTGTGTGTGTGTGTGCCGTGACTGTTTGTTGGTGCTGCGTTTGGCTAGCTGGGAGCACCATGGTAGAGATGGAGGCAGTGGGCAGGCACTCCAAGCTTGGACAGCATTGAGTACCTGACCCTGTGCACCGCTGGCGCTACCTCCCGCCCTGCAACAAGTTTGTCGTCCCCTCCCCTTCTCTCTTTTCCCTCTCCTTCTCTTTTGTTATATCCATTTCTTTTTCTTTATTTCTCCCCCTCCATCTTTCTCCCTTCCTTCTCTCTTTCTCTCTCTTTTTTCTCACCCTTTCTCCTCATCTCCTTTTTATATCCCTTTCTTTTCTCCCTCTTCCTTTCCCTCCCTCCCTCCTTCCTTCTCCGTGCCTCCACCTCCACCTCAGCAGTTTTCAGGAAGAAGCGGGGGGGGGGGGGGGGGGGGGGGGGGGGGGGGGGGGGGGAGGAGGAAGAAAGAGCAGCCGAGAGGAGAAAGGCTGCTGCTCCAAAAATGCTGCTCCTGCCAACTCCTGGTGGCCGGTGAGCAGGGGAGGGACTTTAGGAGCTCACCCGCTGTCCTCCTCCTCCTCTTCCCCTCCTTCCTCCTCTTCAAAGCAGCGGTGACGGGGCAGCAGCGACAATAACACGATGTTCAGCCTGCAAAGCTGGAATGCCCAAAAGTTGAATGGCCATCTGATTGTGCTTTTCCTTTATGGCAGAAGGAGGTTGGACTGGATGGCCCTTGGATGGTCTCCTCCTATTCTAGCTTCCTATTATTATTATTATTATTATTATTATTATTATTACTATTACTATTATTATCTTTAGAAGCAGGAGCAGAGGCTGAATGGCCATCTGTCAGGAATGCTTTGATTGTCTTTTTCCCTTATGGCAGAAGGAGGTTGGACTGGATGGCCCTTAGAGGCCTCCTCCTATTCTAGGATCTTATTATTATTAATAGCATTATTATTATTATTATTATTATTATTATTATTTTCATTATCAGAGGCTGAATGGCCATCTGATAGGAGTGCTTTAATTGTGCTTTTCCCTTATGGAAGGAAGGATGTTGGAATGAATGGCCCTTGGAGGTCTACTACTCTAGGATCCTATTATTATTAATATCATTATTATTAAGCAAGGTCTCTATGGCCATCTGTCAGGTGTGCTTTAATAGTGCTTTTCTCTTAAGGCAGGAGGGAGGTTGGAATGAATGGCCCTTGGAGGTCTCCTCCTATCTACCTTAGGATTCCTCCTGCCATAAGGGAAAAGCACAATCAAGTCAGGTGGCCAGTCAGCCTTTGTTGTTCTCGCTGCTGCTGCTTTGGCAGAGCAGGAAGGAGAGGAAGAATGCAGGAAAAGCACAAAGCACACCTGACAGACGACCATTCACCCTCAACTAAATAATATATTATTTAGTTGAGGGTGAATGGTCGTCTGTCAGGTGTGCTTTGTGCTTTTCCTGCATTCTTCCTCTCCTTCCTGCTCTGCCAAAGCAGCAGCAGCGAGAACAACAAAGGCTGACTGGCCACCTGACTTGATTGTGCTTTTCCCTTATGGCAGGAGGTTGGATATACATCCTGCATATCAGAGATTTACATGGCGATTCATAACAGTAGAAAAATTACAGTTATAAAGAAGCCAAAAAAATAATGTTATGGTTGGGGGTCACCACAACGCAAGGAACTGTATTAAGGGATTGTGGCATTAGGAAGGTTGAGAAACACTGCACTACTGGCTATTAGGAATTGTGGAAGTCCAAAACACAAGGAGGGCCCAAGCTGGCCCATGCCTACCTTAAAGAATAGCCGTGATATTTAATTCTATTGCACTGTTTCACATATTTGTAGATTTAAAATTGTATTGAAATTTAAGCTGCTTTGGCCCCTTCCACACAGCTGTATAAAATCCACACTTAACTGGCTTATATGGCAGTGTGGACTCTGATAATGCAGTTCAAAGCAGATATTGTGGATTATCTGCCTTGATATTCTGGGTTATATGGCTGTTTGGAAGGGCCCTTTCAGACGAACCTATATCCCAGGATCTGATCCTAAGTTTTCTGTTTATCCCAGATTATCTGGCAGTGCAGACTCAAATAATCCAGTTTAAAGCAGAAAACTTGGGATCAGATCCTGGGATATAGGGCCTTTCTGGAAGCGCCCACAGTCTCCTTGTGAAGACAAAAAGAGGTGTATAAATAAGCATAATCTGTTCCTGGTTGAAATTATTTTCTGTTTAATTGTGCGGCTCTTACTTTGAAAGTAGTAGTTCTCTTCCAGAAACTTTGTGGGCTGCCACAAACTATGATGACAAGAGGTCATGAGAATTCGGCCAATAGGCTGATCAGTAAACATATTCATGGGTTCCCTGCTGTTATAGTTAGCCTGTTACCCATGCTACGACATACTTGCAGTCAAAATTTCATTTATTTGTAATTAGAAATAAATGTTTCACAATATTCCCGTGTAAACTATAGTCTGGCCCTCCAACAGTCTGAGGGACAGTGAACTGGTCCCCTGTTCAAAAAGTTTGAGGGCCCCTGGTTTAAATAATGGTCAAACATTTTGCCTCTTCTCAATGGAGAACATTTCTGCAACCTTCAAAAGCTGCTACAGAAAGAGAAGGATTGTGGCGGCAGCGTCTTCTCGCAGTTTGGACTTCAACTTCCAGAACCACTGACGATTGGAAACAGTGGCTAAGGCTTCTGGAAAGTGGAGTCCCACATTCAAGTTGGGGGCTCATTACTAAGCATGCGCGGCAGTCTCGGAAAGCGCTTCAGAGGTTGGATGACAATCTGTCAGGGCTGCTTTGAATGCAATATTCCTATTTAAACTAAATATTGCGAAATTATGGTTTTTTTCTTGAAGTGACACACCACCTGAATTTTGCTCAGTTTTTTGGCGAATTTTGACACACCACGCTCAAAAGGTTGCCCATCACTGACTTAGATGAAGGGTTAGAAGGCAGGATCATCAAGTTTGCAAAACGACACCAAATTGGGAGAGAGAGCCAATACTCAAGAGGACAGGAGCAGAATTCAAAACCATCTCCACAGATTAGAGAGATGGGCCAAAACTAACAAAATGAAGTTCAACAGTGACAAATGCAAGATACTCCACTTTGGCAGGAAAAACAAAATGCAAAGATACAGAATGGGGGACAATGCCTGTTGCTGGCTAGGGCATCCTCTCTTTGGAGGTGTTACCTGGCCCTTGATTGCTTGTTGTCTGGAGTGCTCCAAAACACCTGCAGGGCCCAAGTTTTCCCATGCCTGCACTATACTAACCACCACCAACTGCTAGGCATGCCACTCATTCATTCATTCATTCAGAGACACACCATCCTGAGCTGAGGATGTTTCTGTATATTAGTATTTTAGGAGAGCTGCCATTATTTCTTCCTTTGTTTATGTTCCATTATATGCCCATTATATGTTTTTGGAACTGCTAGGTTGGCAGAAGCTGGGGCTAACAGTGGGAGCTCACCCCGCTCCCCGGATTCCAACCTGCAACCTTTTGGTTAGCAAGTGAAGCAGCTCAGCAGTTTAACCCACTGCGCCACTGGGGCCTCCCACTGTATAATTTAGCTAATACATTTTCCAATCCAGTGGCTAATTTTTTTTTTGCAAATATTATATAGTCCTGCTTTCATAGGCTGATTGATCTCAAAGATCCGGTCTCCCTTGCGTCTTTCTGTGGTTCCAGAATAACTATAATTTCTGCAATCCTCCAGGTATCAGGTGCTTCCCTCCTTCCAATATATTACTGAATAGGGCATACAGCTCAAGGCTCATTACCTACTTAGGCGATCCCTCGTAGCCTGACGATGATGGTTCTCCAAGTGCTGTGTCTTGGCAGTGGGTCCGTAGGTGGCTTTAGGGGCTCAACCT